GATTCCCATAATACTGTATTTCAATTATAACTGTGTATGTGGCAAGTTAGCTTCTTACCACTGCATTGCATGTATATGAACACACGTATATATTTACACCCGTGTATTTTCTTTGCCTTTGCTAGTTCCAATCAGACCTTGAAAGCAGTATCAGAATATGTATATATACTGAAGGAATTGGATGAGCTATTAAGCTCTTTTTCACAGATGTCCAGGAGCCTGGATATTTCTTTGATGGGGGACCACCATGCATAAAAAACAGGTGTTGTGGACAGTGCAAAAAATCCATTGTTGTTCTGTCCACCACCTTCACCAACCTACAATGACCGATATGGTCAAACAGCCCCCTGCACTACATGGGGGAAGCACTCATCCAGCAGTGGATTGAAAAACGAGCAGTACAGTACGAACATGTATAATTCTATGGTGTGTGCGTGACAAGCATTCGCCGTCTTTGCTTCTTAGAATAATGTGGGGGCTGCCTTTCACAATCGTTGTGCTGTGTTGCGTTTGTCCTGGCTTGTCTTTGCAGTGTTTGTAATTGGTTTAATTGGATTTATTTCAACATCCATTCTTGTGGAATATACAAATAACGCCACATTAAATATAATCACTGTGGAGAACAACATCGGTAACAATAAGTTAGGAAGTAAATATAGCACAGAGTCTATTGTGATGAAGTTTGTTAAAACGATTAAGTTGCTTGGGCAGCGTGCACTTCATACATGTATAGTACCTGATTATTACGAGAGCATAGCCTTGGGTACTGTCATCACATTTTAATAAAAGGCTGCAATTACTAATTTGTGATTATGAATGAAATAGAAAAAAGTATATAAAGATAATTATTCTGTCACTGCAAAGAGTGGGGTATTTTTTCTTTTGCATATTTGGGAGGCAGAGTGGTGTGTTGGTAACACTTGTGCCTCACAGCAAGAACGGTCTGGATTCAATTCCTGACTTAAGCACCATTCTGTGCAGAGTTTGTACGTTGTCTCTCCCCGAGTTGTGAATGGGGTTTCACCAGGTTTTCCCGTTTCCTCCCGTAATACATTTTTATTTTGTTTTACTAGTATTGGTCAAAATATCCCAATGCAAAACCTTGCAGGACCCTCCTCAAAAAAGTGTCTTGAGCCTCAGCGAGGCCATCCTGGGTAAACAAGCGAAATCTATAATAAATAATAATCTAGATGTGCTAATTCAGATGGGTGTTTGAATTTAGAAACATTTCTGATAAATAAAAATGTATGTTATTTTTTTACTTAAAACTTTCGTGACTGCAGGAATTCATATGCTTTGGTTCTTTCAGTAAAGTCACGTTGATAGAAAAAGAACAATAAAAATAAAGTGAAAAAAATAATGAAAATAAAATAAATACATGTTTTTATTTTTAAAAAACACTAATGTAGACTGTTGCCTGGTTCTTAATCGGAGTGTGTAGTGACATCGCTGGATGTCACCATGCTGTGGGTGCAGTACCGTCACTGAAGGGGCACGGTGTGCATGGAGTGACATCGCTGGATGCCACCATGCTGTAAGTGCAGTGCCGGCCCTCAAGGGCATGGCGTGTGTGTGCCGACCTAAGAGAGAGGTCAGGTAAGGCTATGGCACTCTGGATGACCTGGGAGGACACGTGACTGGTTTGAATGACAGGGGTGCCCCAAGAAGGGGCTAGGAGGGTCACGTGATTGGAACCCAGGTTCTTCTTGATGGTTCTGGAAGAGGGGCGTGGTCAAGGGCGGAGCCAGCCACACCAAAGAGAATATAAGCCGAGTCCCGAGAGGGATCGGGGTTGTCCCGGTCCGTAGTAAATAGTTACTCAAGTAACCAGTGTAGTTAGCCAGGGTGGTCACCACCCAAGGTCATTGTGTTGTTAAGGGTGAAGTCACCCCGTTGTGTTGGAACTAAATAAATGCACTGCCTCCAAGTCTAAGAATGCGACTCAGTTGAACCCACTATAACTGGTGCCAGAAATGGCTAAACGTTTTTATAGTGAGATAGGCCGTGTAAGGTTAGATATTTACATGACGCAGACAATCTACCAGGATGTTGTCGGACGACGAAGACGACGAGGGAATGATTCCCCAGACAACACCGGGGATGGTGACCCTGGATAAAGGGAGTGAGGCACCGCCGGCCGAGCAGCGCGACGACCATCTTAGCGACGGCTAGCTGCCGGCGGGGAGAGAGTGCCGATTGTTCTGCGCCTGCCTCACTGATCTTCTGGAGGCCGTGGCTGCGATGGTCGCCGTGCTCGATCGTGAGGAGCCGGCGGTGGAGGACAGAGCATCGTAGCTGCGACGAGCCGAGTCCTCCGTCACTGATTCTCGCCAGTGGAGAAGCGCCGTTGCGCAGCCCGCGCACGCAGCCGCCATCTTGTTCGTCGAGCGGGACTGAGAGCCCGCCCAATCTGAAAGCCCGCCAAGTTCGCCTGTCGAGATCCCATCTCTCGGGCGCTGTCTACCATTTGTAAAGGAGTTCATGGCTGCGGGAGGCGACTGGGTGGCCTTCAAGCGTCGCTTCCAGATGAACTGTGATTTGGCGGGATGAACGGAGGCGGAGGTGCTGAGAGTGCTTCTCGCCGCCCTTGACGACGATGCCTTAGCGGCGTTCTGCGCCATTCCGCCGGCAGACAGGACCACGCTTCCGCAAGCCTTTTCCCAAATGGCGGCAATTTACGACCCGCCGTCAAATGTTCACCACAAGTTCGTTGCGCGGAGGAGGGGGGAGGCCGAGATGCCCCTCGCCTTCCGCAGTGCGCTGTTGGCGCTGGCAAAAGCTGCTTTCCCAAAGATGGACCACGCTGGAGTCGACTCGCTGGTCCTTGAAAGGTTCTTCACCTGAGGACAGACCTGTTCTTCACCTGAGGACGGCTGCTTGCGTTGTGGCTGAAACGTCGTGAGAATTATTTTATTATGTTTGATTTTTATTATTTTATTATTTCCCTTCTACGTGACTTTACCGAAAGAACCAAGAAGATGAATCCCTGTAGTCACGAAAGCTTTAAATCGAAAAGCAAGTGAGTTCAAGAACCTGCGCGCATACCTCTAAGGAGTGTCACCTTGTTTGCACAGTGTGTGTCCTCAACAGTTCATTGGTTTCCTCCCCACGTGAAAAACACCACTTGAACTGGAATTCACCAAACATCCCACTGCAATTATACGCAGAACGTAAGTCTGAGAATTTTCTTATTGCGCACTCTGATTAGTCCAGTCCATCACCAATGCGCACACATCACACATGTAAGCTCTTTGGAAAGAAACACTGTTTTAAGTGGCTTGCAAAACTGGCTCGAACTCAGGGATGGATCCAGAATGCGAGCTATTAACTCGACCCAGGTCTTCCGACCGGAGACCTTTTAAACCGCGCTGACGGATAATACTGTACCGTGGTCTGTTTCCCCTGTGAAAATAAAGGAACATATTTGTCCATCGGCCAATGTTACCTTATGAATCTCTTCCCGTAGCATATATGGGATGCTTAGTTTTGATTTGTTTAAGTCTCATCCGAAGGGTGCAACTCAAAACACTCGCTGAAAATTAACTGACCCTCCTGGAAAAGAGTTCAATAGCTCAGTGAGACTTCTGAATATGTCAGTGACATAATTATTATTCTATCACAATGATATATGTTCTTGAGAATATTACAGGCTCTATAATATAGGGTTTTTTTGGGGTTAGATCGCGTAAATATAAATGTCGTTAAACCCACCACCACCCAACACAGCCAATTAGTAAGGTTTGTCAAGTATACCGAACAATGGGAATTTGTTACTAGTTTAGTCAGTCATTCTGAAACACTATTTAGGAGGCAACACCAGTTATTTCACACTTACGTAACTCCAGTTACACACGGGTCTAAATACACTTATTCTCACTCTTGTTACGCATAGGACTACAACACACCTATTCTCACTCTTGTTACGGGACAATCTATAATCGGGTCAGCGCAGCCACATGCTGCCTGCCCACGATGTCGAAGACGGGGACGAAGACGTAGCTCTTGGGTTCCTCTTCACACTAGACAGCCCGGATCTGTGATCGGGGCTTCCCTTTTATCCCTCTCGGCGAGGCCTGGCTCCACCCTCGGCCGCGCCCTACGTCTAGAATCTTCCCGACGGTTCCAGGCTACACAGCACCTATTCCCTCTCTGGCCCCACCTTCAACCACGTCTCTATCAAGAACTCTCTAAACGTACTCAGCTACTCCCCCCCGTGCCCCCTCGTTCACCTTTGGCCCACATTACATGTCCTCACATAGCCCCCACCACACTCTTCTAGTGGCGCACTCTGTGGTGATTCCCTACGGCGCTGGTGGAGGCTGCAATCCCCTACTCTGTCGGTAGGACTCGTCAGGCGTCCTCCTGCTAGCAACCAGCACCGTGCCCCTAGTGTCCCACTGCATGGTACTGCATGTGGTGTTCGCCTCTGTACCTGTTTCACACACTAGTACAGCACACCGGTGTGTTGGAGAGCAAATGTTGTGGCGGGTTTAACGACACATTTATATTTACGCGATCTAACCCCCCCCCCAAACAAAACCCTATATATTGGTCGCGAAAGCCTACGTGTTTCTCTGCAAGGCTGTCATAACGTCAAAGTTGTGTTCATATTACGCTGCTCAGACCCGGGGACATTTAACATTACAGCAGCTGTATCATACAACAAAAAATCATTCATTACAATCTGCAATTGCTTCTACATTGGCAAAAAAAAATAAAAAAATCCTATCATTGTCAACACGACCAGTTTGGTAAACCCATTCGACCTCCCACCCCCGTCCACAACCTGTCCTTTTAACTCTGTGCGAACGCAAGATACGAGACGGAGTCCACCTCGACCACGGATTCCGGAGCGCCGTGGAGTTTCTCCCCCCCCCCCCGTACGCCGCAGAACGCGGAAGTTCGCGCGCTCCGTCGCCAGTCGCCCGGGACGAGGACCGCTTCCGTGTTTTGCGAGCGGCTCCCCGAGGGTCTCCACCCCCCACCCCACCGTACCCCCTTCTGGACACGGCATGTACGCGCGTGTTGTGTGTGTTGTGTGTGTTACTCTTAACTTATTCCAGCAAAGTTGTTTACCGGGCTAAGCTGTGCGGTGGCCGATAAACCGCCGATGGGTTTCTGCGCTTGTGGGTTCAACGACAATAACAAGAAGGAGAGCGGCAGCGGTAACGATAGCACCACACATCACCACAGCATCACCACCTCGCCGTGTGTGTGTACACACGTACAGTGCACGTGGCGTGTGGCGTTTCAAATTGTCCATTCACTGGGCAAGCGACTTCAAGCGTCCGGCCCTTGTCTTTTTGTTGGGTGCCTGTGTTCGCGGCCACGTCAACGCGGCTTGTTGTGTTTGTTGTTGTTGTTGTTTCTGTGTTGGGCGAGAGGGGCCGATGGTGGTGTAGGAAGAGCCGGAAACGCGGACAGTGCGCGGCTCTGGGTGGGTGTTAGGGGGAAGCGCCACGAACCCGGCAGGCCGAGTTCGACTCCGGCTCACGGCCTCCCAACACCGCCTGCAGGATTAGCCGAACCCGTCCTGGGCCCCATGAGTCGATACCGCATCAAATAGGTCGCGCTGGTACAGCGGTGTCTTCAAACATCGCCACTTGGGGAGACAAAGGCGGTCGGGCGTGGTGGTGGTGGTGGTGGTGATGGTGGTGGTGATGGTGGTGATGGTGATGGTGGTGGTGATGGTGGTGATGGTGGTGGTGATGGTGGTGATGGTGGTGGTGGTGATGGTGGTGGTGGTGATGGTGGTGGTGGTGATGGTGGTGGTGGTGATGGTGGTGGTGGTGATGGTGGAGGTGGTGGTGGTGGTGATGGTGGTGATGGTGGTGATGGTGGTGATGGTGGTGGTGGTGGTGATGGTGGTGATGGTGGTGGTGATGGTGGTGATGGTGGTGGTGATGGTGGTGGTGGTGATGGTGGCGGTGGTGATGGTGGCGGTGGTGATGGTGGTGGTGGTGATGGTGGAGGTCGTGGTGGTGGTGATGGTGGTGGTGGTGTGATGGTGGTGGTGATGGTGGTGGTGGTGATGGTGGTGGTGGTGATGGTGGTGGTGGTGATGGTGATGGTGGTGGTGATGGTGATGGTGGTGGTGATGGTGGTGGTGATGGTGGTGGTGGTGGCCACCCACCCCTTCGTGTGCCACAGTGGCCGGGGAGCCTTCAGAGGTGCTACTCGCTGACAGCACTTGCCCCAACAGTCTGTTGCAGGCTACACGGGGGGAGGGGCATCTTTGTCTTTGTGGTCGTCACCCACGTGGCATATACCGCGGTGGCAAATGTGTCTGTCATTCATCATAATTGTCACAATTAGCCATGGGCATTTGCTGCTGGATGAAGGCCTTTCTCCAGGCCGTGGTGGTCTTGTCCACGACTGGTTACATAATAACATTGACTACTGTACCAAGAATATAGCTGTACCACGGTACAGATTGCGTGGTGGAACGAGGTGACGCGCTTTTGCCAACATTAAAAAAATTGTTGTTTCATATTCTTGGTTCTTTCGGTAAAGTCACGTAGAAGGGAAATAGTAAAATAATAAAAATAAAACGGAATAAGATAAAATTCTCACGACGTTTCGGCCACAACGCAAGCAGCCGTCCTCATGTGAAGAACAGGGCTGTCGGAAAGGCAGCGTCCGAATGAACACTGCAGTGTTCATTTATTTTAATTTCATTATTTCCCTTCTACGTGACTTTACCGAAAGAACCAATAATATGAATCCATGCAGTCACGAAAAAAAGGAGCTGTGTTTGAGCCCAGATCGAATGACAATTCCCTGATATATCTGATAAAGTCACAAGGCACTTTTTTTTGGTATTAAGAAGGGTCCTGCGAATGGGAGTAATAGGGTAATACCATGAGGTTTTGGGATATTTATCTTGGGGAAACCTCACGGAGTTTCTCGAGATGGGTCCTTCGTTGGAGACGGGTTTCCTAAGCCCTCATTGCCCTGTCGTGCTATATGGCCACCTTGCAACCCCCAAACCCCCCAGAGAAGGTTTGAAAGTTTGACAAATGTAGTTTTGGGTCGTCCATAAATGACGTCACGCACCTGGGGGGGGGGGGTCAGACAATTGTGACGATGTGTGACGAGGGAGGGGGGTTGAGAAATGTGACGTCACATCAAGATGCGCAACTTTAAATAAATATAGGCAACACGTGTTCTACTTAATTAAATAGACTTCATAAATGTTTTCTCCTACAACATCAGAGTGCAGCGCCACATTAAATGTGCACTACAATGACAATAGTTGAAAGCAATTTGAAGCATGTTTATTTTGGTGGGGGGGGGCAGAGCTTTGTGACGTCATATTTGAGGGGGGGGGGTCTGACTTTTTGTGACGCCGTGTGACGAGGGGGGGGGGTCAAAAATCGTCCAAAATCGTGTGACGTCATTTATAGACGGCCCCTTAATTCGGCGATTTAAAAAAAGAATAAATATCGCATTGAATGATAGCACCTTTAGTGGCTTCCATTAAGCGTAACGCGTGAATTGAAAAACATTGATTTTTGCACACCCGATGCGTTTGCACGTGTCGTTAGATTAATTGATATCAATCGATGCATCTCTCCACCCCTCTCATCACTGTGCTGTAGAAGTGACCGCAGACTAAGCAGCTTGTAAGTTTGTAATAGGATGTGGCATGAAGGTTTTGCAGATGTTATTGTGAGGTGCTTGTGCTGTGCTGAATAGGGCACGCGTGCAGAATTGTGGACAGGGCAGATTCTGAGACAGCCATCGGAAGGAGGAGGCAAGAGGAGGGTCTGTGCGAAGGAAAGCCCTAAAGCCACTATGATGGACTCTACAAAAGTAGTCTTTGAAGGATGGGGAGACGGTGCCTTAATGAGAAGACCTCAAGCCAGACGGCGGCTGTTGATGGGAGTAACAGCGGATCTTGGGAGGTCGGATGTGCAGCATTGGTTGCAGGTTCTCATGGAGAGAAGGAAGCGATGGTGTCCGTCGTGTCAATAATTGGCATTGCGACCTTTTCATACACATCCACAACCAATCATCCCCTGTTTAGACTAAATTGTTCAGTTATGCAGGTGATTTTACGACTTACTAGCACCTATTAAGGCAGTAAAATAAACACATTTTGGATAAGTGTGACTAAATCTTTGTCTCCGAGCCCCAATTCTGATCTCACCACTTAGTTTTAGTCAGCAAAATAAGCCAACAGTAATGTTATTACATCACAGGATTGGGAGACCGCAGCTTAGAGAGGCTTTCATTCACCGGTGGATTGATGATACAATTTGGACCGCTACTTTGTGGAAAACCAACAATAGTTGTGCTGTGGATAGACGAAGTCCTGCCATATAAACACGGAATTTTCTCCACTGGCTAAGCACTCACTGTCATAAGATTTAAACAAAAACATTGCCCAATGCTCATTTACAGACGAGGGACAATCACATATACGGTGTTGCAAATGTTATATAGTTACAGTTCTATATATATCTCAATCGCATAGTACTTAGTATTGGAAGTAACCTGTCCCTGCTACCGTGTATGAAATGTAGTGTTCAATTATTTTCACATTAAAGGGTTCCTGGTTCAGAATCACTGACAATTCTTTGGTATAAATACACGGCCGTACAAATGCCGCTCGTTGCCCCCCCCACCCCACACGCATCTTGAACTCTCATAGCTGTGTTGATATGAGAAATTAACATCATTGAAGTTTCATCAGTGTCCCTTGAGAGGGTAAAAGCACAATGTGGAACAAGGTACCAGCAAGCACGTCCCTGCACTGCCACATGTAATTGGGATTACGTCAAAATTTACTCCATTGCTAAATTTGCACTCAGAGCTCAAATGACAGTGGCATGTTCGTGTGTTTTCCCATTTTTTTTATTCTAACTTTTTTACATCAGTCGTGAATTAACGCTGACAATGTTATTGTGCGACAATATCGCACGTCACGATAGATACCGTGGGTAGGGGTTTTATAGTGAGAACGGGAGCTAAAATATTTGCAGCCATGTAGTACTTCAAGGGCTGTGGGGTTATTGTTTGCGTACAACTTCCAACATTAGTACCTTAATTTTATTTTACTATTCAGTACGTATATTTTAATTTTGAAGGCTAAGTTTACGTGGCATAAATGAGAGCGGGCAAGATGAATGAATAATTGTAATGCATTTCTGCCCTCTAATTCTATATTTTTGTTTGTTATTGTGCTCGTTTGCATAATGTGATATTTTGTCAGTTACCAGTGTTAATTTAATGTCAGTAAACCCATGTTGTATAACAGATACCGTCATCTTTTAAAAGTAAAATCCCTATTGTCTTAATCCAGCGTACCATTGGTCTCCACGGTCATTTTCTTTTTTTACCGTGTAACATGTGGATGCTAACGTTGATATCGGGAGCATCTCCTAAGCATGTATCATCATGATTAATGATCAGCTCCTATTAAACTAATTAAGAATAAATTGCCCGTGCTTGAACTCGATAAACATGCAGCAGTTGACTAATCGCAAGTTAATGCACTGCATATTTGCAGTTAACATTGCATGCCATAAGCATCAGATGCTAAAACTATCGTCGCAAGTATAGGGTTTTTAAAAAAACAAGAAATTAGAACAGAGCTTGCAGGTGCACAATTTATAATTGTCATCCTTGCCAGCATGTAAATTCCATTGGCTGTGTAAAATAGTTTTGTAATATATAGGTCGGTTTTTTTGCAATTTCAGAAGGCCTTTTAGGAGGTTAGCACATGGAGGATAATAGAATATATCTATAGTGCAACGTACCCAGCACTATGCAGTGTTCTTTATATCGTGCAGTATCAAGGTTATGATGCATTGGATCCATATTAATGTTGACTATTAATTAATGGAATCGCGTGTGTCAAATCGGTGTCTTCCTATTCGTATATACAGGGTGTTTCAAAGAGACTGACCCAATTTCAAAGCAGTATATTTCACGATGGCAACATGTTACAATTACACAAAAAGTCAAACGGTTTAATGAGTTATCAAGTTTTACTAACCATTTTATAAATGCTTTATGTGCCCTCCACCTGCTGTACGGTCAACATCGAGACGATAGTTGAATTCGTCCCAAACGCCTCTCAAAGTGTCTTCTTCCACTGACGTCACCGCTGCCGTGATTCTGTTTTTGAGGTCATCCAGATTAGTCGCTAATGGTGGCA